GATGAAGCTGCTGCGGCACACTCACCTGAGCGCTACCTCCTTGCTCGTAGATGTGTAAATGGGACAAGTCCCCCACGATTACCTCGTCGCCCCGCTCCCTGCAGTGCACCATCACTGTTGGATGAAATGCAGGCATGTTTGCGACCATCCAGGACTAGTTAAGACTAATTCACACACTGCCAGGTGAAAGCGAAACTGACCTGCAATGAGATTACTCATCGTTCCAGAGGGGACGAACAGGGCGGCCTCCATCCCGAACATATCCGCTGCAATTTTCTGTAACGCTTTAGGTTTGAGCAGCATTTCACATACAAAAATGCAAAGACTTTAGAAGACTGCAGTGCAGTAAACCATTTCTCTAGGCATGGTTCAAAGGACAGAGAGGATTTTGTCATATAGACTGCAGAGTCAGCATAAAGACCTTTGTTTTACTTGGAGAGAGTTTTGTCTGCATGATAGTTGATTTAAGTGACTTTGAACGTGGCACAGCTGTTGGTGGCAGACAGGCTGAAACTGCTGACCTGGTGAGATTTTCTTACACAATGATCTCTAGAGTTTACAGAGAGTTGTCTGAAAAAGAGAAAATGTCCAGTGAGCAGCGGTTCTCTGACTGAAAATGCATTGTTGATGTCAGAGAAGGTTTTATTGTTTTTGAAATGTTTCGTTTTAGTTTAGTTCTTATCAGTTTCAGTGATACTTTTCTTTTTTTTCCAAAAGTTGATTCTGTTCATCTGGACGTAGCTTTTTCTGGGAGAAACGTTTCGTCACTCATCCAAGTGACTTTTTCAGTCTCAGCTGACTGCAGGTTTCCCCAATCTCATAAACAGTACATTTGCATAATGACTGAAACCAGCCCACTGAAGGAACAATGAGCTGTGAGGTCAGTTCCTTAACCATAATTATGCAAATTCTTCTTTTTAAGTATTACTGTATGGAAGGCTTACATTAAAGGCAGGTTTTAGGAAAATGATCCAAACGTTCAGGCAGGCACCGAACTGACAAAGACTAAAATGAAGGATATTTTGTCTATATTTACATTTTATTTTAGTTCATTTTCCAAGTTCACAAACCATTTCCGTTTTATTTAAAAAAAAAAAAAAAAAAAAAAAATTAAAAAAATTATTTTAACTAAAGTTTTTTTTTCACACCACAATCAATTTTTAAGCTGTTAAAAATGTCGCAAAATAGCAAATACGACACAAATTAAAAGTCATATATGGAAATTTTTAATGTAATTTATTTTATTTTATTTATTTATTTATTTTACAATTTTTAGATGGTTCAATAAATTTTCCATTTGTAAAAGGAATTTTCTGTCAATAATCTGATCATTTAAAAAAATT